TTTAGAATGGGCAGAAATGATGAGCTGCGCAGAAAAAGCTACTCAGGGAAGGCTTTTTCAAAATCGCATTATTATCAATGGAACTATACCCCTATATTAGGGTTAGGGATGTGCGCCAGGGTAGGGTTCAGTTTAGAAAATTAGGTCCCTCCTGACTTGCTCTTCTTCTCCGTTTCTACGCATTCTCACCTTCCTCTGCCAAGCACGGCAGTGATGCCACTTCCAGTATCCCAGGCTTTTGATCATGGAGGGACATCGAACTCCAGGCTCACCGATGTGCCGCACACATTCAGGGGCAACTGCGCAAGTGCACCATTGCACTCCTTGACAAATGGGCGACCCTTGAAAATCCAGGGATTGGCCAGGAGCTTCAGTGAGCAAAGCAGCCGCCCCTTTTCCTGCCACAGGGACCTCCCAGCTGGGCAAAGATGTGCCCGGCCTTGTCTGGGCGACTGCTGAAGGGCAATATTTACGGGGAGGCTGCCACATGGCCTCGGGGCATTAAATAGGCAGCATTCTGGGTTGCCACTGCTGGGAATGATACCACCGCATCCTCCACTGGGCATCCGTGTGCAACTTCCGTGCCGAGCAGCGCTTTTGCGTGGAGCCATGCCAGGTGAGGGGGGAGAAGGCCAGGAAAAGCCCCTCTCCTGGCTTGACTCCATACGGACAGTTTAGAATCCCGGACGCTGGAAGGCCTCTGCAGACTGTTTACAACCCCCTTGCTTAGCGGAGGCAATCCAGAGCGGGGGGGGGGGGGGGGAATTGCCAAGGGTCTCTGGCTGGAGGCCTCCAGAGGGGCCGGGAGCCCATCTACTCAGAGGAAGACTATTACTGGGTTCCCTCACCGTCTTACATACCTCTGAGCCAAACATGCCCAGTCCTTTCAACTGTTCTGCGCAGGACTTGTTTTCCATATCCCTGAGCAGGCTCCTTGTCCTCCTCTGGACCCATTCCAGTTTGTCCTCTGGACAAGGTGCTGATTAAAGCAGTATGGTGCTCTCACGCCTAGCAAGCTGCCTTTACTAACGCAGCCTAAATTCACATGAATCCTGTTTGCAGCCGCATCACATGGCCTGCAGTGACAGAGACCGAATCCCAAAGCCATTTCCCAGGTGTTCCATATCTACGTGTCTGTCCTTCCTTCCTTCCTTCCTTCCTTCCTTCCTTCCTTCCTTCCTTTTATATGCATTTATACACATTTATACACCAGCTTATTTGCTTTAAAAAATCTTATCCCTTGGCGTTTCTCCCAGCCGCATTTCATCTTCTGAGGAATTGCCTAACTTCCAGTTTACCATGATCTGCGAAGGTGAAAAACGTTCTCTCTAGCCTTTCAACCCAAGAGTGCTTAAGTCTTCAAGACCTTGTTTCCTCTGCAAGAGGCCTCTTTCATCCACACATTTATTATGGAAAATCCAGGCTATTGCATTCCTTGGCCTTCTCTTGAGCTTGCTTATTTTTTCCAGATGGGATTTCTCTGGTTTAATTTGTGATTGCAGCGTCAGCTCTCCAGGCAAAATGTTTGCAGTGTAAGGGCTTAGAGGGTGGGCCTGGAGACTTGGCTGTACGGGTTCTAAGCCCTACTCGGCATGAAGATCACCACTCACTCACTCTCAGCCTAACCTACTTCAGAGGGATTTTGTTGAGAGGTTAAAATGGAGTTGAGGCAGGACTATTGCATGCTTCCTTGGGTTCCTGGCAAGAGGAAGAAAGGCAGAATAGAAATGCGAAACCCTAAAAATTCTGTGCTTTTAATTAAAAGCTTCCTGTTTATACATTCTGCCCAATGGATTGCATGCTGCTGAGCTATCAGTTCATTGCCCTTAAAGTACCCTTTCTCAATTGCCCAATTTCCCAACTTCTCTGTATTTTTCCCCACTTCAGAAGCCAGCTGAGAACTATCGAATTAAAATTAAACAAGCGCGACAACAACTGGAAGCAGAGTTCATCCCCTGAAGCCTTGCAGGCCAGTGAGCAGCTTAATGCGTTAATGTTCAGAGTTACACAGAAAATCGTGAACTCCATGGAGGAAATGAACAGAGTAGGGGTGCTCCAAAGTAAACGTGCTCTATGAACCATTGGAGTCCCTCGCGGAACCGATCCTGAAGGGTGCGGAAGCATACGCAAAGCCCCTGCACAGCGCCCTCACCCCCTGCCTGCAGGAACTGGACGCCAGGTGGGAAGAGAGGCTGCTAGAGGGAGCTGTCCGCTTACATCCGTGGTAGTCCAACGTGCTGGGCATCCCTCGAGCCCCACCTTGACCAGAGGCAGGGGGAGGGCCAGCACGGACTGGAGAGGGCCCGCGAGCGCCTGCAGCCTCACCTGGCGCCCTTCCTGCAGGTGCTTCGAGAGCACAGGCAGGAACTACGCAAGTGGGCAAACGCCCCGATCTTTCCTTCAGGGCAATGAATGTTTCGCACCAGCAACGGAAGCTGTGCTTTCGTCCAGCCCCTGAATGGCAAACCGTGCGAAGGGGGAGACTGAGCCATGGCCGGCGATTACATGATGGGTGTCGCTTTCGCAGCCCATCTCCACATCCCGCAATAAAGGAGAGCTCTCCAGAGCTGCGTGCTCAGCCTCTGCTTTTCTCAGTACCTTGCAGCAGAAGCCACTGGCTACACAAAGGTTGCACAAGCAAAACCGGGTGGCATCAGATAATCCTGCATGTGCGAGTGCAGTGGAAGCCGGGTGTTGGCTAGAACAGGCTACCTGTAAACTGTTCCGGGAGCCCATCTGGCTAATCGAATGAGTTATAAAAAGTTTAAATACATACATACATACATACATACATAAGGATATAGAATTGACCTGTGTTATAACGTCCATTCTAGCCTGGAACCTCTGGGTCACAAAGTGGGAAGGATTCCTACCAGCTTTGTATGACTGCCAACAGAGTTGCGATGCGATCGAGATAAGAAACTAGTTTGTTCAATTTGCACAACCAAGCACTGGGCTTCCAATTCAGGCCTTGCCAATTCCTGGGTTATTTAACTCTAGAACTGGCATTTTGTGCAACACAGATCCTATTTCTTAAGACCTGATAAGGCACAGTTGATCACTAGGGTGGGTGGCCAAGTGGGCGCTTATCTTTCGCCTCCTTTACTAGAGAAGGGGGCAATTAAAATCTGTGTGTACCAGGAAGGCAGGGTGTGCGACACCTGGCCGTGAAAATGAGACGGAGAACTAGCTTTGCTCTCTGTGGGAAATCCTGCGGCAACAAGGGCTCTCCTAGCCATATGATGGAATATTCACTCCCCCTACTTTATCCTCTGCCTGTAAATATCTCATAAACACTATACATTACCAGTGCCTCCTTCTAAGAAAACTTAAGCCTGGATAAGGGCTCAGGCTAAACCCCAAGTACCTCAAATGAGTACATATTGTTTTATTTTACTGCATTATTTCCTTTTATTTCTATACCACCCAATGGCCAAAGCTTTCTATGAAACATTTCTCATAGAAAGACACTGTCCCCTCTCTTCTCCAGGACTGTATTGAGTGCAGGACTCAAATTTATTTGTGTTGGCTCTTAGGGAGAATAAATTGTCAAAGGAAAATGATGGAGTTAAAGAAGGACGTAAGGAAAGGCTCATGTTCAGGAATGTCCTAGTTTAGGAAGAGAGAACTAAGCAGGGGACATGAAAGAAGGAAGAGAAAAATAGTGTGAGCCAGCCGGAGTTTTTTTGCAAGAGGAAAAAAGGTAGGATAAAAATGCAATATTAATGCATGGTCAGGAATAGATGGGGAGAGAAACTTGATTCTGTTTCCCCACATCATTGGATCTTAGTGGGGTCACATTCAAGGCGGACACCACACACAGAATACAACTTTGCATCAGAAGATTTTGCTGGTGAGCAAAGTCTTTTGACTTCAGAGGGGCGCTGGATCCGCAGCCAAACTCCTTGGCCCCAGCCATGGCAATCTGAACAAAAACATGACCTTCTCTAAAGAGCCAGTGCGGCATAGTGGCTAAGAGCAAGGGACTGGGAGGCAGGCGATCCGGGTTCAAGTCCCCACTCGGTCATGGAGCCAAGTGGGTGGCTTTGCGCCAGCCACTCTCTCAGCCCAGCCTACCTCGCAGGGTTGTTGTTGACAGAATATGATGGGGGGGGGCTGCTGTCAGCCACTTTGAGTTCTTTTTTTAAAAGTGGCCCTTGCCTGCCAATCTGATTCCCTCTTTCCTCACATCTCCATCCTCTCACCCCCATGAAGGCCGCAAAGGCAAGAAGGCCCACTAGTGGCTAGAAATTTTATTGGCCTCTGCAGTGCATGGTTCCAGGCAGAGGTCAGCGTCACAGAGTCGGGGTGGGGGGACTCTTGCAACCCCTTCTCCTCTCACCAAGCTCACGATTTTTGTGTAAGCCACAGCAATCTTCCTTCCTCATCCCACTGAGCTATTTCCAGAGCAGCTGCCCCCGAAAGGTTTCTTAAATTATTCTGGACGCTAGACACTCGTGACCTTCTCCTGGAGGTCCTTGATCTGGAGGTCCTCCGCGTAGGGGTACCAGTTATGGCGCGCCTGTTGAACCCCCCAGCTGGGGCGGCCCTGCAGCTGCTGGGCCAAAGACCCCATCCCCTGCTGGAAGTCCTGGACGCGCTGCTCGATGCTGCCGTTCAGCTCCTGCACCAACGGCCCCAGCTGGGTCCGGAGAGCCTCCACCTTCTGCCTCAGCTCCTTCGTGCCCGAGGCGACGGCCTCTTGCAGGGCCTGCACCTGCAGCTCCACCTGCTCCAGCAGCTCCCCGGCGACCGGGGCCAGGTGCTCCTGCAGCGAGCTGACGCCGCCCTGCACCTTCTGATTCAGGTCGTCGGCATAAGGCTGCACCCTGCTCCTCAGCCCCTGCAGCTCCTTGGCAACGTCCCGCAGCAGGCGCTGGAGTGCCAGGGCGAGCGGCAGCTTCCCCGGGTAGCTCCGGGCACCGTGGATGCCGTTGCGGATGCGGGTGCTGTGGGGACGGAACCGCAGGTTGGTGTGGGAAGGACGGAGCAGTCCGGCACATTCAGACCCCGGCCCGCTTCTCTCGTCTTCCCCTGACCTCGCGCAAGGGCCCAGCAGGGGACTTAGTGGGACAGATGAAAGCGAGACCATCCTCACACCACACTAGGTATGGAATTCACCTCCAAGAAGTGGTGATGGCCTCCAACTCAAAGCATGGAGGAAAAAGCCACCCCTTTATCATGGCTGTGAAATGCTGCCTCCGGGATCTAAGAAAGTAAGAGCCACCGCGCTGCAGACCCCAACTCTGGCCGTCTTCAAAGAATGTGGAGCATCAAACCTTAGAGCATCTGTGAGCGGAGCCGGCTGGAGCCGGGGGTCAGACTAGATGGCCTGGGAGACCCCTTCTGACTCGCGCTGTTTCTATGTTTCAACAAGGTGTGCAGCACAACTTTTAGCATCAAAAGACCCGTCATTGCAACATGGTACACTTCATGCCCCGTTCAAAGGAGAGCTGGACCTAAATCCCATCGTGAGCCTCCGGGCTACTGGATGACACATAGAGGAATTTCAGCTTTCTAGGCAGCACTGAAGTACCATGAAGAGCCTCATACAGTCACTAGGCTGAGTATCCGTATCCATAAACCCTTTGCAGCATGAGCCTGAAGTGCCTGATCCTGCCTCATCTTGAAAGCTAAGCAGGGTCAGGCTTGGTTGAAATCTGGATGGGGGACCTAAATATTGCGAACCGCCCACAGAGCTTCAACTGTGGGGAGTATAGAAATGTCATGAAATGTGGCAGTAGTAGCAGTTGTTGTTGTTGTTGTTGTTGTTGTTGTGATACTAGCAGCTTTAGAGCAGCTTAGTGAAAGCCTTCCAGATGTTTTCTACCTCAACTCCCAGCAGTCTCAGCCAGTAAGGCCAATGGTCAGGAATGCTGGGAACTGTCTAAAGCATGTGGAGGCCAGAAGGTTTGGGAAGGCTGGGGACCAGGTGACAGGCCAGATGTTGTTGGGTACAGCTCCCAGCATCCTTCACCATTCAGGAACGCTCTGCTGGCTGAGGCTGATGGAAGCTGTACTCCAACAACATCTGGCAGGCCAGTTGCTCCTCTGGAGAAAAGGCACGGAGGGGGACTGTCTTCCACCCCCCCACCCCGTTCCTAGGAGCGGTTCCATGAGTGGTGTCAACATGGCTTTCAGGCGAAGCAGTGCCGCCAGCCTTGCTTGCTCGGGGGGTGGGCTTGGGGGGCGCTGAAGAAGAATCTTACGCGACTTGGCTGGTCTAAGCCGAGCCCAGCTTCTTCACTCACTTGATCTCCTTGCTCAGTTCCAAACTGCAGATGGGCTCCATGTTATCGCCAGTGGCTTTGGAGATCTTGTCTAGGTAGTCTTGGATGGTGTCGCAGAACCGCTCCAGGTGCAGCGTGGGAGCTTCATCGCTTAGAAAGGAGGCCTGGAAACCTGTGGGAAGCAAAGAGGCCCTGCAGGAGACCGTTCTGGGGGATTCCTCTTGCCCTTGAGCAAGGGAACGGGGAGAAACAACCTCGCTCCGTGACTTAGAGGTGTAGCTGTCAAAACACTGTTTTGCTTTTGGCAAGTATCAAATACGACCTCTCATTTGGATCAGCTACTCCCACATATTTATGAATGAATGGAAGCAGTTTGGTATGAAGGGCTGATATGAAAATATGGAATTGCACGAGGATTGCCTATTTCCCACAAGATGTATTCCATGGGAAGCCTGCTGAGACCATCTGCGGAGGGCGCATACGTTGCTACCCTAAAGTTGCAGAGGGGGGCTAGGCAGTGACCACGGGGACTGCCCAGTGCTGGCCCCACACCTCATGGAACTCTGATCTCACTGCTCCTGGCAACCCTCTTTGAGCCATGTATCCTTCTGGAACCAAGCAAGGAAACCGTTTTTTTATTTGCCCAGGACTTTATACATTTTTTTTCATCTTTTCATCTGTTCTTAGCTACATTAATGCCATGGACTTCCCTCCAAGCAATTTTTATATAATGATATTTAAAAGAACAAATTGACTTGGGTGGATGCACACCTAATGGTAAGATTATTAACTGTAGCGAATATTTGCATCGCCTTTTATGGGAATTCTCACATTCTGCAGATGTGCTTCCTCACAAACAGTTCTGCATCCAAAAAGGAGATTCACAAATGAAAATAATATAGGAGGAGGACAGAGGAATCAAAATAAAAAAGATTAAAGTATATGGGTGGTTAAGGATGAAGTAGAAAGTAGATTAAATTGCTTTCTAAGGGCTCAGAAAATCTTCCATATAAAAAGAAGCCATTTATTGGAATACACTTTTGGAATAATACGTAATAGTAAGTTTGCTATATGCCTTTCCACCACCTCACAATTTAAATATGTTGTATTTGTAGTCTTATTTTATAAATAAACCTTATATTTTTTAAAATTTTTATGTGTCTGTATCGTACCTTATTATAGTTTGTTCACACTGTATCTAAATTTTGTCACCTTTTCATAAGAACAATAAAAGATGAAAAAGGCACAGTGCTGAGGTTGGAGGCCGAGGGAATATGTTGCTAGATGGAGGGGTGGCGCATAGTTTTAACGAACTCTAATTAAAAGGCTGGGACTCCAGCCCTTCCTCCGGGGGCCGAGAGACTCACTCACCACCGAAGAGGGCAAGAGCAAGCAGCAGCAGCAGCGGGGTCCGGAGCATCCTGGTGGGGCGAAGGCAGGCCCTGGAAACCAGAAGAAAGGGGGCGTCAGTCCCGGAATGAAGGGGCCGCTCGCGGGGGTCCCGGGCACTCCTCAGCTCAGGCCCCCGGCCTCCTGCCGCCGCAAAGGGGCTTGGCCGGGAAGGCGAACAACGCTCGCGACGCTGCTGCATCAGCGCCGCCGCATCCTCGAACGAGGGGCCGCTCCCCGCGACGCGCAAGGTCCAGGGCGCCCGGAGCGCCTCCGCGGGCCCGGAAGGGGGGCAACGGCCCCCCCGGGCTGCCCCCGCCGCGATTGCAGCCGGGTCCGCGGCAGACCGGGGCCCGGCCGGCGCCCGTGCAGTGGGGCGCGCAGCCGGGCGAGGGGCGAGAGGCGGCGGAGCGAGGCTGCCGGCCCCCCTCCCGGGAGGCGCCCCGGGCTTGGCTCGGCGCCCCGTGCAGCCCCGAGGAGCAGGGGCCGCCCTCGCGCTGCGGGGCCCGGGCCCCCCTGGCGGCTCCGTGCCGCGGACGCGGTGGCCCCCCGACGCCACGCGAGCAGGGGGCCTTGGGGGCTCCCCCTCGAGCTGCGCCTCTTCTGCAGCCGGGAAGGGGACGGAGCAGGTCGCGGATGGCGCTCCGGGAAGGTCTGCCGCTGCATCCGCTTGTACTTCAGGCTTGCGGTTATTGTGAACTTCCCGTTCCCGGAGTCTGCCTGTCGTATTACCTTTGTCTCACGCTTCTTCCTTACTATAAACGAGCAAAGTGGTTTACATCCTCCTCCTCCCGCTGCTCTCAGCCTTTTCCCCAGAACCACCACCCTGTGAGGTGGGCTGGGCTGAGAGTCTGTGACTGGCCCAAAGTCATCCACTTGGCTCCAGGGCTGAGCAGGAACTGGAACCCAGATCCTGAGTCCCCATCCTGCACTCTCACCACTACACCATGCTTCCTTACCAGGACTTGCTTCCTGGAGCTTCCTAGGAATCTCTCTGAGGTAGCCGGTCAGTTGTAGTGCACTGGGGCCCCCCGACAGTGTGTCCACCAGTACGAATCTTCCGCTCCAGCATGCAGCTCTCAAGAGCAGTGACTGGCCATTGTGAAGGGTTGGGGCCAAACGTGGAACATCACGGGGCCAAATCTGGCCCCTCGGCCTGAAGTGCAGCACCCTGACCTAAGCCGTAGACAAGCACAGCACCGCACCTTCGGTCCAAATTCCTCCTGGAACGGCTGTTACATGCAAAGGCAGCGACACCGTCTTGCCCTCTGCGCAACGCTGGGCCCTTGGACTCTGCCCGGCCCGAGAGGTGAATTCCAAGCTGTCTGCTGGCGTGGATAACAGGCCTGGGAGCAGGGGAGGCCCAGAAGCAGAGAGCGTGGAAGGCAAAGGCCATCTCGCTCGTCCGTCCTCCAGAGGCTGCCCCAACAGGGAGCGAGCAACCTGCCCCTCTGCGCACGTGCAAATGGCAGCCGCTCTACTTCCATCGCCAGGTCTTTGAGAGGCTGAGATGGGCTGTTCTATTAAGGGACAGACTTCTCCGTTTCTGTCCTCTCCTTGAACATAGATTGCACCATCATTTCTACTGTTGTGAAGCTCCTGGGCACAGGGCCGTCAGGGGAGAAGACTTGGAAACACACAAACAGAGCGAGTCAGAAAGGGCCTCCTGGGCCATCTAGTCTGACCCCGGCTCCAGATGGCTCCGCTCATGACATGCCCACCATGTGCCTGCCCAGCCCATCCTTGAACACCCTCACTGACGGGGCTTCAACCACCTCCCACAGAAGCCCACTGTATACCCTAGGGGTCCTAACCCTCCGGAAGTACTTCCTGGCATCCAAACTGAACCACGGCTGACTTGCTCAGCTTCTCGCCCTTCGTCACCTTAAGACTCTGCTAGGCATGATTAAAAAGAGCCATTTATTGGTGCCAGCAAGCCATTAAACCTTCAGTGATTCCCACTCTGAAAGCAAGCAGCAGAACCGAAAGCAGCTGGCCCAGCGCACAATACTCTTGGACACACAACTGCGCAGGTTCCACAATGGTGCTGATCTTTCCCCCTGCTGAGCTTGAAATGGAAAAGGACTTTTCAGCAACCTGTTTTCTTACTGGTTAGTGTTCAACCTCAGCAGAGCTGGGCCTGTCCGCCGGTGGCTCTCCTTTAAATCACACCCAAGTGCCAAAACCAGTACGATTGCCCGTTTTGTATGATCGCCACCTCAGTGAGCTGGGACCCCGTGCCAGGCAATGCTTGCATGTCTGAGCCATGAGCACCGGTTGTCATGTCATCTGAGCCAGGGTGGGGAAAGGCTAAACCCATAACCCCTGGACAGGCCATGGGCTCTGCGGGGGCTGCTTAAGCCGCACGTCACACACACTGCCTGGGTTCAAATATCACAAAACACTGTGGCCGCAGCTTGAAACAGGCCAAATGGCTGTCCATAAAGCTCAGAGTCCCTGGGCAGGGGTGGGGAGGGCACTTAAAGTTTTAACCTCTAAGACCTGGGGTGTTGTTACAAATACCAGTCCTTGCTCAAGGCAGAGTCTAACGAAACCCTTCAATGGTACGTCTCCTCAAGCCACTTGTTCCAAGTTAGCTAGCCAGGTGTGCTTTTTCTAAATGCACGCAAGGCCTACCATTTTGCCCTCTTCGAACACCCACTGCAGAGCGCGTGCACGCTGGGAGAGCAGCATTGCACTCCAGTGCCCAAAGGCAGGCAGGCGAGCCAGCCAGCCAGCCAGCCAGCCAGAGCGGGCCTCTGCAGAGCCAGGCTAAAAGTGCCCAGGCGGAGGAGGAGAGGCTGGATCAGCTGGCCTAGACAGAGACAGGCAGGCCACAGGCACCAGATGCCCAGACTGTCCTCGTTCTCTCTTGCGGGACTCCGCAGACAGCTGCTGCACGGCACCCGCCCCTCGTGGGCCTGCTCCTCTGGGACACCCCGCTGCCCGAGTCCCTTCGCCTGCTCCAAGCAACCAACAGTCCACCGGTCACCTCCTAGGGCGCTCCTGGCAAGAGCTGACTGGGGAGAGCGGAGCGTCCACTCCCGGTGTGAAACTGCACTGATGCTCGCTCGCAAGCGGGGCCATCCATCCGCCCGCACGCCACGCTTCCAGGCCGCTTCCGGGGGGAGTTGGCTCTCGGGCCGAGGGGAGCTCAGCACTCCTCCTCGAGTTAGGCGGGGCTAGCAAAGACGACAGCAGCACGCAGGGAGAAAGGGTGGCAGGTGGTTGTGGGTTTTGTTTAATTGAAACCAGATGTTCCCAACTTTTCACGAAGAGGGAGGCGGCGCTCACCTTGCAGGGTGGTGTGGTTGGTGTGTGTGTTTTTGCTTTTGTTTTTCTTCTGTAAAAGATCCTTTCGTTCCCATAACTTATAAACATGATTTACACTCAGTCTCTGGAGGCAAAAGGGGAGGAGGGCATGCAGAGATTTCCCCGGTCTCCGCAGGGGGGGCCGGTGGCAGACGCTCGGGGCCGGTGCGCGCGCATCTCTCTCTCTCGCTCTGTGGATGGTCCTGCTGAGCTGCTCCGTGAACCGGACAGGAAGGAGGGCTTTTTTCGTGGGGGGAGGAAGATGAGTGGTTACAGGCGAAAAAACAGTGCCATGACATCCAGCAGAGAAGCGAGGTACTCCCTGCTAAACTTGGCGCTGGCAGCAGCCGCAAGCGCAGAGAAGCGGAGGCAACCGGAGAACGGGAAATAAAACCGGGACAAGAATGATGGGGCTCCTTAAAAAAATGAAGGTAGGTAGAAAAGGGAGGGCTGGCGCAGGTGTGAAATCGTTCCAGGGACACTGAACGGGAAGGCAGGCGGGCGTGCTTTCTGGGGTGGGAATTAAGGCCCGCAAGGCAAGGCCCGGTCGCTCGGGCACGTTCACAAAACCGTCAAAGGTGCGCGTGTCCCTCCTGGGGGAAGGAAGGAAGGAAGGAGACGGGAGGGGAGGGGAGGGGAGGGAAGATTCTCTCTGAACGGAAAAGGGGAGCAGGGCAGAGGAGGGGAGGCACACAGAAGGGCACAGCCGTCCTCCCCAGTTCTGGGTAGGGGGACCCTAGCCCTGTGCTAAACCCACCAGCCCCGGGCCCGTCAGTGGCCACCGGTTCTGAGAGAATGGCATGCTCCCCCCGCGCCCAACGCGACCCCCCCTAGTGGCAGAAGCAGGCAGAGCAGCCGCGCCGATCACGGGTGCTTTGGCTTCCGGAAACCGTACCTCGGGGCAGAAGCCCGGGAGCCTCGTGCCCCACATCCCACCCAGCAACGCCACCTCAGGGAACTGGCGACCTGCTCCTGTGGGTGGGGAGGGGAGAGAGGGGGGCGCTCTCACTGCTCAGTCCGTCCTGCCCGCCGGCGTCTCTGGGCTCCCCCCGTGCCCCACGGAGGCCCCTGCGGGCCGAGCACGGACGCAGGCGGGAGGGCCAGGGGCACGCGGGCGCGGATTAGCCGATGGTGAGGCCGAAGCCGCACTGGAACTTGTTCTTGCGGTGGTTGAGGAAGGCGCCCATGGCCAGCGTGAGGGGCAGCGGGAGGAGCTTCTTTTCCAGGGCCGCCCCCACGATCCAGTTGCTGTCGACCGAGCCTGCGAGGGAGAGGAGGGGAGACGCGGTCAGGCCGCGGCCGCGGACGCTGGAGAGCGAAGGCCTCGCGGCGGGGCGGGGGCGACTCGCCTACCTCGGAAGAGCAGGTTGGCTTTGGGGAGGTCCAGCTGGTACCCAAACGTGACGCTCGTGTCCTGCATGCGGGTGCTGGCTTCAAACTCGACCCCCACCTGCAACTGGAGGGGCAGGGGGCGGGGGAGGGAAGCGCATGAGGGCTCGGGGAGCCACAGGCGGCTGCAGCCGTGGCCGGCTGTGACGCGCACGCCCTTCCCAGCCCTGCCTAGGCGAGGCACCCAGGGATAAGAGCGCGAGACGAGACAAAACGGCAACACGGCCGATTAAAGCAGCGCTACATTTCAGGTGGTGACAGGGCTTCCCCGGCAGACCACTGAGAACGAAAGACCTCCGTGCCGGGTCAGAAAACCGAGGGCCGGGCCAGCACTGGGTCTGGACACCTGCCCCCCCCCCGGAGCTGCTCCTCCCCTCGCCACTGCCCCCTGCTCGCTCGCCTGCACTCCCCCTGCTGCAAGAAGGGCCCCTGGGAGGCACTGCCCTCTGGCCTGCCGCTCTCTGCCAAGCAAGCAGGGCGGCGGCAAGGCAGAGAGCAGGAGCTGCCGGCGAAGACAAGCGTGAGAAGGCAGTCCTTTCAGGCAGCCATGAACGGTTCCTGGCCTGCTCTTCACTGTCTTCCCGATGAAAATCCTTCCTGCATCCACCAGCAAAGAGCGATCGAGCGGGGGTCAAGTGGGCAGAAGTCCACAACGAGCTGGTCCGCCCACCCCCAGGAAAGCATTTGGAGAGTGGGCTCTAACGAAGACGAGCATGAGGAGAAATTGCTCTCCTGGAGCTGCAGCAGAGGCGAGTCCCACTCACTGCTTTTATGCCTTTGAACGGTCACCGGGCATTTTGCATCTCTGCATTTAAGAACGAACAGGCATGTGAGGGAGGCGTTTAATTCACTGTATTCCTCCCCATCCAAAAGGCAACTGACCTGATCGCTAGCTTTGTGGTAGTATGTGGCATGCGCTCCTGCCTGCCCGACTGTCAGGGTCCCAATCCAGTTAGGTGCTGCAGAAAATCAACACGCAAATCTCACTCTCTGGAAGTCAAAGCCCCAAGCAGACAGTTTGACCCTGCCTGCACTTCTGAGTTAGGGTATTCCTAACTCCATACTCAGAGGCAGGATACCTGTGAACACACGTCACTGCGGGGCAAGGAAGACTTCCCCAGGGCCCTGCCAAATTAAGCATGTGGTTTGGAGCAAGGTGAGGCAGGGAAGGTGCAGAGAGCTGGTGTGTAAAATATACGGTGGGTTTTGTTTGTTACATATCAATAACTAGATGCATATCGAAGTAGATTTCAAAGAGAACCAAAACATGATCCTGTTTCTAATCCTCCTCCACGGATTAAGAAGATAGGAGTCCTGGACCGGGATAGAGCAAAGAGGGATGTTCTGATTTTTCCCTTTGCTGCTGTGAAATCTGAGTGAGGGAGGGAGTGAAAGCAGCAGCTCAGCTCTTTTGGGGTTCCTTCCGAGAGACGAGCTCAGCATGGGCCCATCCAGGTGAGGCGATGCATCACAGAGAGCAGAGAGGGATGGTTAGACTAGGCCCATCTGTGTATGTCTAGCTGGCACAAGAGGTCGGTACCTGTGTATTTCCCAGCTAGCGACATGACGGTCCCTTCCTCTCCAGGGCGGCGGTGATACACCAGCTCCCCGCCCAACGCCAAGCATGGAGTGATGCTCTGTAAATAGTGCGCCACGAGAATCCCTGGGGAGCAGAGGAGGAGACAGGTCAGCACCTGGGAGGTCGACCCACCCAGCTGAACGAGACTGCTAGGACAGACATGTGAGCATGAGAAAGAGGTGAAGGAAGGCGCCTTCTCACCTGAGCCCACTAAAATATCGGGGTTCCCTAGCGTGACGGCGGCAGTGAAGTCGGAGCCTCGATATTCACCATCTACCTGCCAGTTCACAAACTTTGATTGCTGCGTCTGGAATGTGAGGGAGGGAGGGAAGAAGAGACTCGGTTGTGGAGGGAGGGAAGGTTTTATTTCGACCTTGTCTGGAATGAGGGATTTACAGCCAGTCAAAGGGGGATCGCTCAGCGATGGGGATGCGCCCAGCAAAAACCCAGCTGCGAACAGCCCACACCAACACGTGTAGCCGGCGTTAAGAGACCGTGCGTGCCCCGGGTGGTGCTCAGGCACACCGTGCCCATGGGAAAGTGTCAGACTGAGTGCTAGTTAGCACACTCAAGAGGCATCCCCTGGGTAAAACGTTCCCTTCCGCCCCCATGTGAATGCAGCAAGTTGTACCAGGGGCTTATCCAACCCAAGCTTGTTTGCACTGAGCAGTTTTCCAGGCTCGCCTTGCTCCCAGCTTTGCTAACCATTGGCCATGCTGGCCGGTGCTGCTGGAAGTCACAGCCCCAGGTTCCTGCAGGGTGTCGCTGCAGCTTCCCCAGGAGAGGCAGCAGCGATGGAGTCCCTGCGGGAGGGGAAAGAGGAGCCTGGCCCAAGAGCCTGTACCTGAAAGGCCACCTTGGAGCGAACTTTGTTAGTGAGCTGGTGAATGATCTGTGCGTTGAGGCTGCCGCTGTTATCCATGTCGCCCACCAGCACGGGGAAGGCCTGCGAGAGCAAGGAGAGGAAGAGGGAGAAGAGGGCTCAGTCCATCCGGAGCGTTTCTAGCCCGCGTTCTGCCAGTTCGGCCAACCAGGTGGCTCTTGCGGGTCCATGAGATGCAACTCAGGTTAGCGCCATAAAAGAGCAGCATCCGAACTAGCGGCGGTGAGAGAAAATACGAAGAGCGAGGGTCCCTCGGCTACTGGCCATTCAATGCACTTTCAGGGAAAATTGTAACTTGCTGCTGCAATGAAATGAGGGCAGGCGACGAGCAAGTTACCAAAGGAAGGTGATGTCACAGCACGGCGCTGCGAGGAGGAAAGCGCCACCTCCGAGAGCCACTCCCCCGTGCATTTAGGGCTGGAGGATGGCCTCAACAACCAGGCAGGTCTGTGCAGGGGACAGGAGGCCCAGCCCAGAGGAGCGCGGCCTCTCAGCCAAGCAGAGCCAAGCTACCCAAGATGCACAGGAGTGTCCCCACACGCCCCCCGGCAAGCTTACCTCTGTGGGGCTCAGCTGCTTTGTCCCTACGTAGGTCACGCCAAAGTGGTAATTGGAGTCGCCGACTGTACTGAGAGCCACTGTATGATTGACCTGATGAAGGAGAGAAATGCATGGAACAGCCGCAGGGAAATGGCTACTGATCAGCTGTGGTGAGCAAAGAGTGCCTCCAGGCGACCACACTTTAAAAGCAAAAAACCATCAGGAGTCCTTCCTTTCACCCAGCAGGCTGATGCGTGACAAATCACCAGCACACAGACCTAAGCAGGCAAATCCACACTGGGCAGGCAAGTGGCTGACACAGCCGCTAACGTGCTAAGGTGGAATATAATGCTTGCGACATTTTCCTGGTCTAACTCGCCCTCCTTCCCTAAAGCAGGAGCAAAAGCTCCGCAAGGCCTCGTCCCAGGAGGCCTTTCCAAGGAAAGGGCTCATCCCTGAATATGCGAAATGACGGGACCGGTGCCTGTGAGCACTTGGGCTGTGCCTGCCTTCCCTCACCACGGAGCAGCTATCCAGTGGGCTACGCGGGTGGGAAGCACACAAATCCGAGGCGCAACTTCTTAGCAGGCTCCAGTGCTTGCCCCTTCCTTCAAAGGGAGGTAAGCACCGGACCAACTTTCTCAGGATGCCAGTACCTTTCAAACCGGTGTGGACACAGAGCCACACCAGGGCTTGGTGATGCACGAGGAAGCCCGGCAGGCTGCTGGATCCACATCCCTCCTCTTCCTGGTTGCACTGGATGGGGAGTGGCTGTCAAGTTCGACAGGTAGCATTGAAGCTGCCTTCCCAAGTCAATCTCTAGACAAGAACAGCTTTTGCTGGGAGAACAAAACTGTTTGCCTTCCTGAAGCTGCTACACCACCCAGGACAGCGAGGGGGTGATTGGCTGCATGGAGCAGCGGGAGAGAAGGATTTAATAAAATATATAGCTGGAGGCATTGTCTTTTGTTCCTGGCCTGGAGAGGAACACTGATGCATTTCTTGCCAAGCAGCTGTGGGGGCACTTGGAGCATCCCCTGGCCAAGGCAGGGAGCCAAGGTCAGCACGGAAAAGGAGCTCTCTCTCACTTGTTTATATTTTGCTTCCCTGTCCCACCACTGCCTTCAATCCACTGTATGCGCGCTTGGTTTCATTTCCTCCCAAGTGCTCTCCAATTTCTAGTGAGGTGCCTTGACTGAACCAGACCCCTAGTGATTGATACCCTTGCGTAATGCAATTCTGCCCTTGGTTGACACAAACCAAGGTTTACTATTGCATCTAAACCAAACAAACCATGGTTTGCTACTGCTCAGGACCGGAATCTGCTCCTCTTGTAAGCAGTGTGGCAGCCTGGAGCTCGTCCCTGCTCATGCGTAGTTCCACAAATCACGGTTTACAGTTTCGTCAGAAATTCCAAAACAGACCCTCCAAGTAGCTTGTAGGCAAAACATGAATCACTTTTACCTGAAAGTGGTTGCTGAGACCTTTGTTCACTGTCAACTTCACGCCCTCCATTTGGATGGGGAATAATTCTGGAAGAGCACGAAAAAGGCAGGCTTGGGTGAGCACGAATCACACTGCGTCTTACTGAACTTCCCTTGGCCGAGAGAGAGATCCAAGGGCTTTCCACAGAGGAAACCAGGGCCAACTGAAGGGCTGACTTTTGGGGTGGGAAATGCTTGCTCAGATCCCCACTTGGCTACAAGCCTCACTCCCAGCCAGCCTCACACAGCTGTGAGGCTCAAATGAGATGCAATAAGTTGACTGACCCATGTTGAGAATCATAGGACTATTTTTCTGTCTAAACAGGGTTTGTTCTCCAAATGTCAGTTGTAGAGAGAAACAAACGGAAAAGCAATCAACACATTCACGTTCTCTTTTGCAGAATTCTCACAGGCTGATGGCGGACAGGTTCTGCCCACGATTCGGTCACATTTTTGTAATTTCTCAAAATGCAGGGCAAAGTCTACTTATAATGCTTCCTGTTTTTGTCATCATTTGCTCAGTCAAAATAGTTGATGTACCATATGAACATCCCCCAGGGCCTTTCCTTAAAGTAGAAGCTTTCCTGTTGCTAAAGCAGCCTCGACCTCATCAGCGACTGGACAGGAGCCCAAATGGGGACAGAACCACTGGCCATCGCAAGCACCAATGCGGCTGACAAAAAGTAAATATGCAATGTAAACATTTATATACTGTCTTTTAATTTTAAAACACTGCATAGCCTTACAATAACATGCATTAATGAAATACAAACTCAAACACTACGAGAAAATAATCAATAAAATAACCTAATCAAAACCACAGATCTAAGAAAGGAAGGTGCTCAAAAAAAAATTTCAGGCATTCTACAGAAAGTCTGCAAAGGAGGTCAATATCACTACCAACATATTACAGCCCTGACTTAGGGGCTGAATCAGAAAAAGGGGGGCATAGCCTAGCTCAGCTAGGAAGTTCATGGCCAAGACAAAATTTGAACTGGGTGCACCTTAGCAGGTCTTTCTTTGCTACTATACCAGGGCAGGAGGCCCACCTGTGGCCCTCCATACTTTGGCCTTCAGCCCCCATCAACTCTGGCCAATACAGCCAACAGCCAGGGAAACTGAGAGCTGCAAGCCAGAATATCTGGACGGCCACAAGCTCGGTTTTCTAAAGCTGACCTTCCAAGTAAGACTGAACAAAGGCCTTCAAAATGGAAACTGGGATTCACACAATTCTGAGGAGGTCTTGCTCTCGGAACATCCTCTTATTTCCATGCCTTCAGGACATGATGTGAAGACACATGACACACCTGGGTCTTGTTATGCATGAAGAATGGGCTACCTGGCCACCACCGTGGATGCTGCTTCGAGTTCCATGGTAGAAGAAATGTGGGACATAAACGTACACACATGCACACAGTTGCAGAAGGGTACCAGGGTCTGAACATGAGGGACCAGCTAATAAGTTCTAAAGATGCATCTGGGGAGACTCAGCATGCATTTAACAATGTGTGAGTCGACGTCAGAGGCGAGCGTGGACTTCTTTTTCCCAGCTTCGGACTGAGGGTGAGGAGCACCCCATGTCAGATGTTGCCAAGTGCAGAAGAACTCCGTACCTTTGCATTTACGGTGACATTCCTCAAAAGTGCCAGGATTGGGAAGCTGGTCGCACTTGTCCTCAGTGGTGCGATCTTGTGGTGGGGGAACCAGCCCGCTGACCGGGGGCATCGAAAAGCCAGGTGGCACCGACACCAAGCCAGAGCCTGGCCCAGGCACTGCCGAGGGGGGCGCTGGGGAGCTGGCAGCCAGAACGTTGCCCATGGTGAGGAACTAGGAAGGAGGAAACTGTTTGTCAAGTCCCCGATTTTCTGAGGCACCTTGCCCCCCTCATTACCAGTTATTGGCCTGTGTTCTTCAAAACATGCACACCCCAACCAGCTCCATTTAAATCGAGAGAGCGGAATCAGGTGGAACAGAAAGATTTTTCAGCAGATGCTACTTTTTGCACTCCTGCGCATGGCAAACTGCACTGCAAAATCCTCCTGCACAACCATCCGAAGACTGACAGCTCAGATGCTGTCCTCCCCCGCAAGGAAAGGCTCTGCTCTGAAAGCCCGGAGAAAAGGCCACTAAATTTGCCTAGTGACTGATTTTGCTAGGCAGCTGCTATGAAAAGGACTGGAGCAGCTCTGGGCCACAGACTCAAACCCACCTGAGGCCCTACTTTGCTTCTGGGTTAGTGGCTGGAGCATGTGCACCTGTGCCAGAAGGCCACTGGCATAAAGCTTCCAGTGCGGGGCTCAAAGAGACACACCCAGCTGTTTGACCAAGTACAGGGAATGGCTGTAGCACATGCTTTGCATGGAGAAAGTCCTGGATTCACTCCCCAGTGGCATCTTCAGGTAATGCAGGGAAGACTTCAGGGGGAAGCCTCAGGGAGCGGCTGCCATTCAGCATTCGTAGAAAGAAGTTTCCTACAACTGCTGATTCCCAACCAGCAGCCATAGCAGACTCCAAAATGTAGCACAAGCCACAGCCCCACACAAAGTCAGATGCAGAGCAAAAAATGTTCTCAAATACCAGGAAAAAAAACTTTTAAGGAGCCCAACTCATTTTGGAAGGGTACTTGCTTCCCCTGGGGCAGCCTGCATGTCTCCAGCTCTCCCTTGCAAAGCCTTGAGAGCCAACGTGGTGTTAAGAGCACAGGTCGGGGTTTCTAGTCCACACTCGGTCATGGAGTCAGCTGGATGCCTTTGGGCCAGTCACAGACTCTCCGTCACAACCCTGCCTCACAGGGTTGTTGTTGTGGGGATCAGGCAAGATAAGATCAGCAGGAAAAGGAAATGGATGTAAGCCACTTTAGGGGGAATATAACTCTAATAAACAGACAAGCCAATCCTATTTGCTCCCTGCTTCCAACTGCCTTTATGCAGGGTTAGATCGCCAGTTCCCCTAGCCCAGCAGAGCTGACACTGACCGGCAGCAGCAGCAGGGCTCCACGGTTTCCTGGCAGGATTTTTTCCTAGCCCGATCTGGAGATGCGGGAGCAATCCTGGGACCGTCTGCACAGCCGGCACGTGCTGTGCCACTCGGCTCCTCCCTCCAGGGACCGTCTTCCCCTGCTCTGAGGGGCTCCCGGCAGGTGGCCCCTCGCAGCCTGAGCCCCGCGAGGAGCCCCGGCGGCCGCGCCAGCCCCACTTCCACAAGGCAGGCGAGCGCCACCCACTGGGGTGGCTTTCAAGGAGCCCGGGCGCACTTCCGGAGGGGGCATCCTGGGCCGCTCGCGCGCCTACGCAAACCAGCCGCGGGGGAGCACGGGGAGGAGGACGCCGCCGCACGCGTGTCCCGCCCGCGGCTTCCTGCCCGGCGGGATGCCGGGCTTGCACGGTCCTCCCGGCAGGCCTCTCCTCGTGCGCTCGGCGGACGGGCTCTGCGTCAAGGCCGCAAGCCGCTGACCCCCGGCCGAGCCACAGGGACTAGCGGCTTGGCGGAGGCGGCCGCCCCGGCCAGCGGGGACTCCCGGGCCGGCCCTTCCCTCGCCCCGGAGCTGCTCCTTCCGCTCCCCGCTCCGCAGGGTCCATTTTGGTTTCCGCACCCGCTCGCCGTCCCGCCTGCCCTGCCCTGCCCTGCGTCCCCGGCTAGCACTGCGGGCCATGCCCGCCCGCCCGCGCCGAGCGCTGCCCCGCGGGCCGCCTTCCCCCCCGCGGCCGGCCCTTCCCTTCCTTTCCCGGCCGCCCGCCCGGGGCTCCCGCACGCTCTCCTCGTTACACTCACGCGGTGGCGGCAGGAGCAGCAGCGAGGGCTCGAGCCGGGAGACACCCGAACCCGCCTGCCCGAAGGCCCCGCCCCCCACTGCTGTCATTGGCTGGCATCGCCCTCCGCCCCGCCCCTGCACACCCTGACACGCTGCTACTGGCCGATGCCCCACCAAGCTACGCCCCTTGCACAGGACCTCATGGGTTACAGGACTAACCCTGTCCCAACGCTTCCTCGCCGTAGATTTTTTATTGGTCACTCGAACGTCAGAGGAGGAACCCTTCGCGATGGACGTCCTGATTGGACATATTATGAAATAAATCTGGTCTATGATCGTCTAATTGGTGGCTTTTTCCGCCAGGCACAGAGCCTCGCCGCATTTAATTGGCTATCTTTCAGATGGGCCGGGAAGAGGCCCCTTTTCCGTCTTCTCATTGGTTATTTTTTAATAAAGAGGCGGAGCGTTCTGCTAAGCAAGCAAGGTCAGTTGCGAAGAGTAGGGGCAAGGTCAGGGGGCTGTCCCGAAGTGCATCACGGTAACCACAGATTTTGCAAGCTAGAGTAGCCCGGGAAAACCATAGAGAAAGGCTCCGTGAGGGGCGCCATCTTTGTAGGGGGAGGGTGGCGCTTTTGGCCCCTCCTCTTCCGTGCGTCAGCGATTTCCGCAGAAACCACACAGCTAATTTCTAGGGAGTTTTCCTCAGACTAGCAGGTAGTGATCGGTATTTAAAGCTCAAACCGATTTTTCGAAGATTTATCCATTTATACGTCCAGTCAGTTTTATAACAGATACATAGTAGACCTGCTCATGGTGGGCATGTCATGAGCGGAGCTGGCTGGAGCCTGGGGTCAGACTAGATGGCCCGGGAGGCCCCTTCTGAGAAACAGAGTGAGTCCTGTTCTGTATGTCAAGATATGGACAGTTCGTTAATGAAACTCGCAAGCCCGAATTTCACTAGCAGTACAAACAACCACTCCCAAAGCGTGGCGGTTTCTAGGCTCCCATGCATGAAAGGCAGTTTCAAAGATGCCCTTCTCGGGCAAAAGGTGGTGTGCATCATTCTCCTGCTTTCGGTCTCATCCCCACAACAACAACCCTGGGAGGTAGGCTAGGCTGAGCATCTGACTGGCTCAAGGTCTAGTTGGCTGCATGCTTGAGCGGGGACTAGAGCCCAAACCCCGAATACCAGCCCTGTGCGCATAACCACAAGACCTCACTGGCTCTTTATAAGGAATAGACAGTAGTTTTGTAGGATTTATGAGGGAAATCGTGGAAATGGGCAGGTGTCTGGAGCCACAAACCTACAATTCAGCTATGCTCTGTTACGATGCCTGACCTCTCAGGTTCTTTGGTCCAAGAGATACTGCAACAATTCACATTCTGACTTGCAGCCAGCCCATCCAAGAGCTCGCGGCAGTTCTGTTTCATCAGCACATTTTCATGATGCAGTCCCCTTCACCTTGTAATACCCATGGCCACCGAAAGCCAAGCTCACAAAGATCCGGGCTGCCCTTTCAATCTGTGCTAGTAAATATGAAAACAACTTAGGGTAAATACTTTCAGAATTATGCAGCAGAAAGAACAGAATGGCATCTGCTCTTTTCAGTAGTTAATTCCACCTGTGTGGGTGATCAGAAGGGGAATATTAAGGTTGCCAAACTTGTGCCATTTGATATTTCGACACATAGCCAAAGGAGGCCCAGCTGTCATATTTTGTTGTAAGCTGCACAGACAGCTTCAGCTACAAGTGGTATAGAAATGAAAATGATAACAACCATCCCCACCTGAATACGAAGATGCAAAAGTTATTCTGCTCCAGGCTTTGGTAACTCCTCAAGAGTTTATGTTCCACCCAGATGAGTGAGTTCATCAGACTGGTCTACAGAAATTAACACTCCCTAACAATGCAGTCACAAGCTGGGGCCTTCATCTAATCACCATCTTGGCTAGTAGCAAGAAGAGGAAGGGCCTTTTCAGTGCCGGCCCCCTCATCATGCATAAACTCCCCACTGAGGCCTGCCTGGCACCAATGCTAGTAACTCTTTGGTGCTGCCTTAAAACTGTCCATTATGCCATGCAATCAGCTATATATTTTGCTGGGGCAAAACGTCAGCTGTTCAACAGGTCTCGCAATTTAATTGCATTTTTAAATTTGGCTTTTACGATTCATATTGTATCTGTTATGATGTTTTATTGTTATTTTGTATTTTGTCGCATTTATTGAAGCCTTCCAGGTAGTTCCACAATGCCATGTGGAAGGGAGGACCAAAGCAAAAGACCACAACTGTGATTGCCCTCCCCATAAACAGACCATGTTGCTGCCACGACATGGGTTTGCAAAATATTTATTTTTAAGAAATAATAAAAAGTTATTTAAAAACCCCTCTGTGTCCCCATTGAAATCAACTACTCAGTAGTGTCAGCAGGAGGTACATAAAAGGCAAGTGGGAAAAGGCATTGTGTGTTTGTGCATGTCGATCATTCCCTTCCCCAGATATTGAGATTCAGGGAGGCAGTCAGATTCGTATGGCCTGTGTAGAATAATCATAATCATATTCAAACCCCAACATTGCCAAGTGGTACCTGCATCCAGGGAAAATAGCAGCAGTGAAAGAGTGTATGGAGGCAACGCCTTAGAACAGTTGGCAACATATGACATCACAAACTTTTAAACTTTTTTAAAACTTTAAAACTTTTAAAAAGCTAACAGTAACCATTCAAAAACCGTTCACATTTCCAGGACGGGGACCCAAGCACAAGCTCTTGGGGCATAAGTTTCGACATTCAAGTAGCGATTGGATCCTGGGACGGAACTGTGGCAAGATTAAGCCAACAGCCGTTTGCTACACCGATTTCCCACTCAAGGGAAATCGGAGCCATTTAGCCATTTAGCATCCAAACCGCATGGACAGGTGCAATTTGTAGGCATTTCTTGGGATAGCCTAAACATTCTCACAGTGCTCATCCTTACAGGGTCGCTTTCCAACCCTACCAGCTGAACTGCGGAGTCTATTCTGGAAAAGGAGCTCATCTGGGAGTCAAATTGTTTCTTGGATTGTGCTGCTTCAGAGTGTGAAGGAGAGAGAAGTTGCATAATTGAATCTTTCCCACATGAAAAACTAAATGTCAGAGGGATGGGCTCTAAACTCATCTTCACCTGCTGGTTTTCTGTGTTTGCTATTGGTGGGGGCAGGAACCGATCCAAACAACCTCCTACGTGCAAACTGAAGAGTTTTACTGTGTAGTTGAGCTTTTTTGCCTAGGCAGTTCACCCGCCTCCAGACCTAAGAGGTTAAGGCAGGGGCAAGAGCAGGATTAGGAAATCTACCCCTTTCCCCTCCGATTGGCTTCCGTAGGAGCCTGATCAGCATAACATGGAGGTGGACCTACAAGTTACATCTGCACCCACACACTGGGGGTGTTTCTTTCTCTCCAGGAGTCTCGCTTTACTGCAGACAGACTAAGTAATGTTCAGCCTCATTCATCAGATGTCCAGATATTTGTGGAGTAAGAATCAGGACAGGTTGGCAGAAGGATCTACTAGAGTTTGGAAGAGGCTGAAAACTGGGCTGCTGGTGGCAAGCCCATTTCGAATGGAAAACCCAGGAAGGCACTTCACATTTGGCATATGACAGGGTTAAGGACTAGCCGCTTGTCCTGGCCAGGTGGAACAAAGAAGGGAGGATGTTAGAGAGCCAGTTTTGAGCAAGGCGCGCTCCTGTCCATCCAAGGCACACATGAAATGCAGTCAAGTTCCGAGGCAAAGGTGCCAGCTGTGCAACTGGCACGGAGAGGTGAAGAAGCAGCATCGATCCAGGACGGGCACAAGGTCCGTCCCCAAGCAGCATCCTCCCCTCTGGACCGCAGCCGGAGGTCCAGCTTGCACGGTCAAACGTACATGGCCCGGGACATGACAAAGGCCTTGTCGGTCGCCATGGGTGTCAGGGCTGCCTCTTCCTCCGGGGCCGTGAAGGAAAGTGCATCGTAGATCGGGTTGACCTGGTCCAAATACTCATCCTCCAGGCTGGCTGCAGCCTCGGCCGCTGCTTCTCGCTCCTCGAGTGTCGGCAGCTCGTGGTATCGTGGGGTCTCCTGGAAAGGGGAGCAAACACACCGAGAGCGATATTAACTCACAGTGCTCGCTCCTCTTCCCCCAGTCTTTCCTCTTGTTCATTGTCTTCCACAACGTTGGCATTTAGGTCGGGCCGGGGGCTGTGCCTAGTTCTCCACTGCGGGGAGCACAGCTGTGCAGCTCAGCCCTGCGATGATTTGCTGGAACTAGAGGGGGTTTTTTCCCCACGTATTTTTACCAAGCCTACCCAATCTAGAAGCTTTGCCCCACCTTCCACGCCCAGGGGCTGATGCTGCTGGCCTTTCCCCAGAGGGCCCTGAGGCTGAAATACACCCACACAGTACCTGACGTGGCCAGGCCTGAGTCCCTGGGCTGGGGAGGCCCTAAAGTTGGGTCCCCTGACAACAGATGGTGGCACAGCAAAGACCATCTATTGCACACAGGTACTATACCAAATCTACTTTGGCTCTTTCTTGTTACGCATGCAGGACGTTCGTTCTGTACAGAATTTGTCCATAATTCTACATTCATAGATTCCCTGCCAAACATGCCCAGGGGCAGCCCCACGTTGGCGGAAAGCCAGTGGGTGGTCTGAGGCCGCAACTTGGTTAAAGGGCGGTGCTGCTGCTAGGGGTGAGCCACCTAGAAGTCCAACCGCAGGATCCTTTGCAGCTCGGTAGAGCATCCAGAGGGGCAACTCGCACCAAATCGTAACCAGGATTCTGCTTTTGCACCTGGAAGCGGTAGCACAGTGCGAGAGCCAGTGTGGCTTAGTGGTCCGGGGTCTGAACCGGAGACCTGGGACAGCCAGGTGCTCTCCTCCCCTCTTGGCTGGGAAGTTCCCTGGGTGACGGCAGCTAGTGACTGAATAATCCACTTCACAGGGAGTGGAGGAGAACTAGGTAAGCTGCCTTGGATTCCTCACAAGAGGAAGAAAGACGGGGTATGACAATAACGCAAGAACAGCTACGGCAGAGAGTCTGGGTAAACACAGCCAGTCCCGATTCTGATTTCAGAAAGGTCCCCGAGCATGGCCCACAAGCGGGGGGAAATAAACGGTTTCGCTTCACAGCCCTAAGGACCAGGAACTTGCATTGTTTAGAAGAAGAAAGCCAAGCGTCTCAGGATTCCAAAGTGGGCAGTTAATAAGCAACTTCCATGTCTTGGGAGGTATGATCGTGGGTGCGCAGGATGCGTGCTGGGTGGCAGCGGGGTGCGCGTGTGCATTTGATGTATCGATGTACCTCTGGTTGCTCATGGGGCCTCTGAGTCCACATGGGCCCAACTGTCTCCCCGAGGCAAACCCAGTGCAGAAACATCCATTTCTGGCTGTCTGAGTTAATCTATTTAAGCGGATCCAGTCACTTCATCGTACGCCATGTGTTCAAGGTGGGATCTTTCCTAGAGCAAACCTCTTGGCACCAGCTCCCCCTCACCTCCATTTTGGTGGTAATAACCCCTCCAAAGAGATCGTCTGTAACGCTGGGTTCAAAAAAGGGAGTTTTGAGTGGGATACTCTCAGCCTCAGTGGGTTTAGCAACCTGGAATAAACCAGAGATGTAGTGAATATGGGATAACCTGAGCCGTCAAAGGAAACCACGAGAGAAAGGAAACCAGAGTCGGAATAAATTCTAGGATACTGGATGGTCAGTGATCTTGGTTTACAGATATGTCTTTTCCATGCACTGTCCCCTATGCCAGCCTTCCCCAACCTTGTGCCTTCCAGGAGTGTCTGGACTACAACACCCAGAATTCCCAGTCAATGGCCCTGCTGGATGGGAATTATGGGAGTTGTGGTCCAAATGCCTCTGAAGGTCACCAGGTTGGAGAAGGCTGTCTATGCCTTTCTAAAGAGCTTTTTCTGACTTGTCCAATCTCCTCTAATCAGCTACGGAAATGAAAAGAAACTTCTGGCAAGAAATTGCCAGAAATGCACGGACTTTGCCACGCTCTGCGTAATCTTTTTGCCGGTAGCCACCACTGGCAAAGATCGGAAGATTTTGCAGTTCCACACTAACACCGGTATCGACATTGCGAATGGAAGCAGAATCCAGTGTCCCGAGAATCCCAGCTTTCCCTTTAGAAACACACACACAAGTTCCCTGCCCCGAAGGCCGCAAAGACAGCCAGGCCAAGTGTGAGCACCATTTGCGGAAACCTCAGAAGCCGGAGGGGAAGCTGGGTAAAGTTTTCCAAGGGAGGTGAGGCCCGGCCAATGCAATTGCATGCATCTGCTGATGGCAGTTTGAATGGCTGATGTCAGGATTCGGCTTTTGTCTCCTTTCCAGGGCAAAGCAGGGGCAGCCCCAGGGGCTGTGAGTCGGCTGGTGGGCAAAGGGACGGGGGACAGCCGTTGGGTCATGCAGGGAAGCTGGGCTGGCATCCAAAGCCAGCATCACCAGGAAGCTGAGAGGGAGCCCACACCTGTTAAGCCCCGATCCACGCTGTCTCTCTGCCTCTTTCCCGTCTCCTGTAGCCCCCTGCAGCCTCCTTGAGCGTGCCAGTGGCCAAAGGAGCTCAGAGAAGGACCACCTGCTACTGTTAAAAGCACAGCTGCATTGGCTAGTTTGGAAGCTGGCAACTGGGTCAGACCTTAATGCTTCAGGGCCATGCCAACCCGGCGCTCTCTGGCATGGAGAACAGTTCATTGATAACCGATTTGACAAGTCACAGCAATAAAACCATGTTGCTCAGCCTCCAGGTGCCCCCCAGGTATGTTTGTCTATAACTCCCAAGACTGCTAGCTGGGGATGATGGGAGCAGTAGACCAGGCCTGTTGAAAGCAACTGAGCTAGCAGGTTGGTGGTCCTGGCACATATCCTGGGTTTGCCACCGGCTTTGTTATAATTTCATAACAACCAGTCCGGAGGTGGATAAAAATCCCCAAAATTCTCTGCCGTCATCTTGCCCTGGGAAGCACTTCACCCAGGTGGTTCCAGGCCACAAGCAGTGAGGCAGAAATACATACCGGTTCTGTCTCCTCGGACAGCTGGCAAGGTGGGGGCGGCTTGTAGGCGGGCGGCCCTTCCAGGCTGCAGGGATGAAGGAGCAGACATCAGAACGACCAGGCGGGAACTCTGGAACAATCAAGCCCCGGGCCCCCTGCGATCTGCCTCCCACTAAGCGGGCATGGCGGGGCAAACCGTATGTTTCAGCCCGGATTGCTGCCACCACACAGAAAACTGAACAGGTGTGGTTTTGAGGAACAAGAAGGAGGGGGCCTAGGTGTGGCGAATGCAGAACCCCCCCCCCCCCGCCCAGGAGGTCTGTCCCTGCTGCTCCTCTTCCCAAGGGCTTTATTTCCTGGAGTTCCCCCAGATGGAAGCTGCAGGGGGAAATAGGCCTGGTGGAGGGGAAGGGGCATGAGTCCCTTCCCCTCCAGACCCTCCCCCCCCCATACTGCTGGCTTGGATTTCAGCTCCCATCATTCAGTAGAGATACAATATTTGCAGGGGACATTCCGCCCTCCTTGCCTGCACCCCCTGCTTCCCCCGCCCGGCTCCCCAGAGCAAACCACGCCGCTCACTCGTCCTCCTCGCGGTCCATCCGGTTCTTCTGCTGCTGCCGGCAGATCAGGACGCCAGTGGCCACCACGGCCAGTGCCACGATGGCCGCGATGATGCCCCCGATGATGCCGCCCGTGGTGCCTGCCCCGTCCATGTTGGGCTTATCTGGACCCGGAAACACAGAGGAGAACAGCCCCGTTAGCCGGACCCGAGAGCCTCAAAGCGTGTGCGAGAGCGAAGCGGAAGCCGTGCGCAGCTGGCACGGACCCTGCTGGGGAGCTGGCCACGTGGGCGGCGCCTGCCCAGGCCACGTGCGGCCCTGTGGCACGTGGCACCCGGGATCCCTCCGTCGCAACCAAGCAAACCAGTCCCCTGCACCCAGGACGTCCAAGGGGGGAGGCAAGCGGCACCGCAAGCAAACGTGGGTGTGGCAGCCTCCAACTCGTGCCGGGTCGGCACCTTGCAGGATTTCTCTTTCAGGGCCCGTTAGTTCCAGGGAAGGTTCCTGGGGTTGTTCCCCAGCAGCAAGCCGGGGATCAGCGGGCAGGGCTCACTCTTCATGCACACGAGAACGGGAGAGGCGGCGATGGCACAGCCCTGGCAGCTCCGGGTGGCCAAAGCGAGTCCCTGGGGCTCCGGGAAGGAGGAGTGGGAGCTGCCGGCCCTCCTCGCCTCCTGCCTGCCACCAGCAAGGGCAGCCAGGAGGGGGAAGGAGGGGGGAGCAAGAGCAGATGCTGACGGGGTGGGGGGCGCTTGCTGCCGTCCTGCCCCCCCCCCCCCCCAAGCCTGGACCCCTGTCAGCCTGGGACTTGGACCCGCCGGTGTGGATCGCGCCCTTTCTAAACCATTTCTGTGCGCGCGGGGGGCGAGCGGTCGAGTCCCCATCTCGGCCGCTGGGTGGCGCGCTTATCCTGCGCTGCGGATCAGAGAAGCCCCAGCGCAAGACAGGAGCGACTTCTCTGGAAGCGGCGCTGGGCGCGGACTGGCCGCGGTTCGCCCCTCAGAGGGAAAGAGGAACTGCAGGCGGCCAGTTTCGGTGCTCTCCTCCCTTCTGCAGCTGCAGGTATTGGACTGTTTTGAAAATCGGGGCGCATGAGGGGGGCAAAGCAGCCGCAGCCCCACTTCCAAGGCTGGGCCCCCACGTTCTGCGTAGGGCTGAGCCTGACGAGCCAAAGGGAAGGCGCGACGCACGTGCGAAGGGGCAGTCAAGATTCCCAGCCTCCGAGTCCGTTTCCGCGGACAGCAATCTAGTGATCAGAGTTGGGCAGGGCAAAGCCACGGGAGTGCCACCATCGCACCCCGCAAAAAGCCGCCGCGGCAGCGCTGGCACGATTTCTGGCCCTCTTTCTTTAAAGCGAGTTTCTGATTTCTAAGGCTAAGGCAGAAGATGGAGTCGCTGGAAGCACAGACGGGAGCCGCCACAAGCGACGCGCCCCGCATGGAGCGCCTGGCCTTCCACGGTGATTAGCCGCCGCAAAATAAATTATGCAAAATAGGAGACATATAGAGGAAGGAGCTCAGTGTGCATTATTCATGCCCGCTATGATGTGCTGCTCTTCCTTCCTTGGTCCATCTTTTCCTATGTGTGCGTGTGTCGCCCTGAGAGTGCATGTGAGGATTTAATCTTTCAGTGTTTCTCAGGAGTGATGGCTACTCTGGGGAAGCGGGTGCGCAAGGGACGGATCCGCACCCGGATGCCTGGAATACAGGCCCTGCTCTACGGGGGAAAGAGGTGGAGGGGTCCAGTGTTAGAACCGTCCGTTTAATTGTGCATTCAGAATATATAATGCTCACACACAGAATGGTGGGAGTGGACGTCAGCCCCAGAAGCCCCTGCCAGCAAGGCCGATGCTCGGGATGCTGGGAACTGAAGGCAATACCCACCTGAGCTCTGCTTTCTGCTCAGCTTTGCTCTCGGGCAGCCTTCCTCAGGCTGGGCCCGCCATACAGGCTGGACTACAACTCCCATCTCCAGCCACCAGCCGTGCTGGCTACGGATGTTGGGAGCTGTAGTCCTACACACTTGAAGGGTGTGCTGAGCTGAGGGAGGGCTGGTGTGCAGTGCCTGGGCACAGTCCATCAGATGGCAAGATCCTGTGCCCCCCCCAGCAGGAGACCCACCAACCACATACCCTTCTCTACCCCACCAGCAAGAGGGCTGATAGGCATTGCTTGCTCCTATGTCTTCCCTTGCCATGGAAACTCCACCAGGACTAGAAGCTTTGCTTGCCATTTTTCTTATTTATTTTCTTTAAAGTATTTTAGGCTCCTTCATCATTCTGGCACTTCGGAGCCCAGCGAAGGAATTCTTAGAAGAAGGTTCTTTTATGTGTGTTTCTCTTTTTTTAAAATGGAGGGGGGGATGTGACAGAAAGCCTCCCTAAAGCTTAGGGGCAAGGGGGAACACGATATTATGAATAAGAATCCTCATTTGGATCCTGCCTCTCCCCACCATCTGCAACATCAGGATAATATCCTGACCCATCTTACACAGATGTTGAAAGAGCAATGGAAATCAGTATGTGTGTGAGACACTTTACATGCCGCTCAGGGTCACAGCAGGCGAGAAAGGAGAAGGGGAGTGTTTTCCTGGCATGACGGCAAACCTTCCAAGGCCTGCAGAACAAGCTGTTGTTAAAAGCACAGGGGCATTTGCCCATTTTAAAAGCTGGCCAACCGAGGCGTACTGGAAACGAGGGTTATTATTTGGTATACCTCTCTCTCGAACGACCAGCTCGCCAGAAAATGCCGTTCTCTTCCTGGCACAGGGCAAGCGCAGTCTGAGAACTTTCTTCCAGGCAAAGTCCATCTGCAGCCCTCCCTCTGGGTTGGGAAGGATCAGAGACACGTGTGCAGCCGTGAAACATGGGCCTCTCCGTGCCATCTTTTCGCTGCCAGCTCGGCGTGTTCATCCATCTACTGATCCCCTCCTCAGCTCTCCTGGGAGAACCCATAATTACACTCAGCCCAATACATTATGCATAACAAGCTCGGAGCAAACGGCTGCTCATGGCCTCCTTCACAGCGGCAACAGCTCAAAATTATTATTTTTAGGCAAAAAAGGAAGATTTCCAAAGGAATCTTGTTGACACCAGTCCTACTGCCAAGAAGCCGAGTTGCAGCTAGGAATATCAAATCCAGAGGGGAGGAAGAAATCCTTGCACCACAGTGGAGTATAAGGGAGCTGCAGTTCGGATTTTGCTATCTCTAACAGCAAGAGGAAGGAGAGGGGGAGAGAGAGGAAGAAATGCTAGAAGATGCAGAAAGATGGCAACATTTTCTATACCAGGAAAGGCTTAAAGGATTAAGATTGTTTCAAGCTTAGAAATGCAGATGGCTGCAACCGAATATGATGGGCGTGCATCCGGAGCACGAAAACGGGATCACAGGCGCAAGCCAAGACGCAAGTGGAACGAGGCCACGGTCTGCCTCCGCCTGCACGACAAGATCCGCTGCAAACCGCTTCTAATCCAAAATCAGGCCCTGCCATGCTGCAGCCGGAGACCAGGAGCGAGCAAACCAGGGGAGGGCTGGGGTCTCTCGGGCAACTGGACCTAAGGGGGCCCCTAAAATATATTCAGGGGCATGGGAAGGAGGGATGCCTATTTGATGTGGGTGCTGATGTGTGCAGGACAGAACATGTTCTCACAGCCCTAGCTGGGCTCTGGCAGAACTAGAGGATGCTCGCCAAAAGCCTGCGGGGAGCACTTTGTGGCGCCAGGCCGAGCCCGGCACGCCGGCGGAGTTTCACGGCCAAGGACACTCCCGCTGGGCCGCTTTCTTCATCGAGCCCCTCCAGGCCTTGTCCTGTAGGGGAATCCCTAGTCCTTTGTTCCAGTCTCCGCTCAGCCAGGAAGCTCCCAGGGTGACTTCCGGCCAATCACAGACTTGCAGCCTAAGCTACCTTGCAGGGTTGTTGTGAGGAGAAAAATGGAGTGGAGGAGATCGATGTAAGCTAGCTTGGTTTCCTCTCCAGAAGAAAAGGGGCGGGCTCAAGATGCTCAATGCAATGCAATGCAATGAGAAGTCAAAGTGCACAAGGATTATTTAAAAGGCATCAAGACTACAAGGGAGGCAGTACTTTCCAACAGGAAGAACCAAGGTACATATTACCCATTGCAGAAACTTTTAATATCTTGGATTCCCTGAAATATTGCATTCAGTGCCTCAGAAATGATTGCTTGCAGCCCGAAAGGTGACAGGCTTTTGTACCCAGGATAGCTTGACCGGTTCGGTTCCCGTCTCCCCAGCTGCCTCACTTCGCTTTTCTTCCGAAGTTTTGGCGACCACTTCCGCCCTCGCCCCTTTCAGACCACCGACCTGCCTGTCTGTTCCCCTTGGACATATCTGCTGACCACCGAGTTAGCCAGCGCCTTGTCCTTGTCCCTTCCGGGCTTCTTGGCCTCCTACCTCCTGCCGCCTGGTGCCCACAGCAGCTTTCCTGTGCCAGCTTTCTGGCACAGCCTCGTGGCCAGCTGTGCTCACGGGAGCGTGCTGGCTGCCCGAAACCTCTGCTCTCTGGGGGCCTGGGCAGTTCCCTGAACCCAGAGCTAGAAAAACTGGTTGTTGGACTGCAGCTTCCATCATTCTTGACTACTAGCTACTCTGGCTGGGGCTGAGAAGAGCTGGCCGTTCAAAAACCTTTGGAAAGTTGCTGGTTCCCTTTGTCCTCCTTAGCTATTGGGGTGCACCTGGGGTTCCTCGTTTGGAGGGACAAGGTACCTACAAGTCCCATTTTCATATTTTCCTTCACGCCGTGTCTTCAAGACTGTGTGTGTGTGTGTGTGCGCGCGCGCGCATTTTAGGGTTCAAGCACCGCTGGGGCATCCCAACCATTTTGGCAGGGAGCAGAGGTCCAGGAGCTTCCATGTAGCCTGAAGTGCCTGACCCTGCCTAATCTTGGAAGCTAAGCAGGGTCAGGCCTGGGCAGAAGTGGGATGGGTGACTTGAGGGTATGATTCTATGATTATTGCTGTCAACTGCCTAGAGAGCTTTGGCTATGGGCAGTATAAAAATGTAATAATAATAATAATAATAATAATAATAATAATAATAATAATAATAATAATAATCTTCTCTCCAGTACACGCTGAGGGTTTGCGGAAAAGCTCCTTCCAGGATTGATCCCAGTCAGTTTGGGTTTAAAGGGAGGCAGCCTTGTGTTC